ATTCCTTTCTTTTTCTGCCTTCTCTGGTTTTAAGTGAGCATTTTATATGATTTCATGTGTATGTTTTACATGTAAATAGACTAAAGAACCCAAATGAAAGCAAAGGTTGTCAGACTGACAAAAACCCTATCTATTTATTATTTTTCAGGCATACTTTAAACAATAAGAATAGAAAACAATAAGAATAAGACAATGGAAAAATATACATCATGCAAACTTTAATTAAAAGAAAGTCAGACCAGGCACGGTGGCTCACGCCTATAATCCCAACACTTTGGGAGGTCGAGGTGGGTGGATAACTTGAGGTCAGGCATTCGAGACCAGCTTGGCCAACATGGTGAAACCCCGTTTCTACTAAAAATACAAAATTTAGTCAGGCAAAAGTTAGTCCCAGCTACTCGGGAAGCTGAGGCAGGAAAATCACTTGAACCCGGGAGGGGGAGGTTGCAGTGAGCTGAGATCACACCACTGCACTCCAGCCTGGATGACAGAGTGAGACTCCATCTCAAAAAAAAAAAAAAAAAAAAAGAAAATCAGTGTCATTATGTTAGTATTGGACAAATTAAGCTTTAAGGAATAAAGTTTGTGAGCTATAAAGAGGGCAGTTTCATAATGATAGAGTAAGTTCAACAGAAAAATATAAAAATTCTGTACTTATAAGACAAAAATTTACATAATTACCAGAAGAAATATAGTAATCATCAAGCATAGTCAAAGATTTTAACACAACTCTCTTGGTAACTGATAGAAACAAGCATGCAAAAAAATTTAGTACAGATATTGTAGATTTTAAATTCTTTACCTGATTGATATAGAGAGAGAACACTGTTACTACTTTTGCAACACTGCAAAACGTCTGAAGTTCTGCAAAAGTAATGTTGTTTTTAAGTGCATAGAAAATGTTTCCCATAATAGATCACATGCTTGGATTTAATGAAAGTGTCAACAAATTTCCAAGGTTTGAAATCACAGAGAATGTTTTCTAGTCTCAGTGGAATTAAACAAAAAATTAATGAGAGTACAGAAATAGAAAACCACCACATTTTTGCGAATTAAGCACATGAGATTAAATAATCTATGGATTAAAAGAGAAAATTAGAATATATTTTATACTAAGTCATAATGAAAATATGACATCAAAACTTGTGGAATGTATCTAAAGTAGAGCTCAGACAGAAATTTATGCCTCTAAATGCAAATATTAGAAAATAAGAAAAATTAAAAATCAGTTTACCAAGTTTATACTTCAAGCTAGAAAAAGATAACCAAATTAATCCCAAAGAAAGTAAAAGGAAGGGGGCCGGGCATGGTGGCTCATGCCAGTAATCCCAGCAGTTTGGGAGGCTGAAGCAGGGGGATCACGAGGTTAGGAGTTCGAGACCAGCCTGACCAACATGGTGAAACCCCGTCTCTACTAAAACTACAAAAAAATTAGTCGTGGTCGTGCGCGCTTCTGATCCCACCTACTCAGGAGGCTGAGGTAGGAGAATCGCTTGAACTCAGGAGGCAGAGGTTGTAGTGAGCCAAGATTGGGCCACTGCACCCCAGACTGGGCGACAGAGCAAGACTCTGTCTCAAAAAAAAAAAAAAAAAAAAAAAAAACAGTGAAAGGAAGGAAATAGTAAAGATAAAATCAGGTATCAATGAATAGAAAGTAGAAGTGGCTGGCAGGGTGGTTTACACCTGTAATCCCAGCACTTTGGGAAGCCAAGGTGCACAGATCGCTTGAGCCCAGGAGTTTGAGACCAGCCTGGGCAACATGGAGAAACCCCTTACCTACAAAAAATAAAAAAAAAATTAGCCTGTCACGGTGGTGCATGCCTGTAGTCCCAGCTACTTGGAATGGTTAGGTAGAAGGATCAGTTGAACTGGGGAGGTTGAGGCTGCATTTAACCATGATGGTGCCACTATGCAAGTAAAAGCCAGTTGGTTCACTGAATAGGTTAATAAAATTGATAAACCGCTAGCATGACTGATAGATCCATATGGCCAATAAGCATATGCAAGGTGCTCAGCATGGTTAGTCATACGAAAATACAAATAAAAACTACAGTGAGCTACCATTATAACCCTACCAGAATGGCTAAAATTAGAAGGATTGACAGTACCAAATGTTGATAAGGAGACGGAGCAACCAGAACTCTCATATATTGCTGGTACGGGGTTGTTACAAAAATTTGGAAAACTCTTTGGTAGTCACTAGTACAGCAAATTACAGATGCTCCTTGGCTTATGGCAGTGTTATGTTAAGATAAACTCATCGTAAAGTGAAAATATCATAAGTAAAAACTGCATTAAATACACCTAACCTGCCAAACATAACTTACCAGTTTAACTTAGTCTATACTGTAGAGCAGCAGTCCTAACTTTTTGGTGCCAGGGACTGGTTTAGTGGAAGATAATTTTACCACAGACTTGGGATATGGAGGATGGTTTTGGGATGAAATTGTTCTACTGCAGATCACCAGGCATTAGATTCTCATAAGGCGTGTGCAGCCTAGATCCTGTGCATGTGCAGTTCACAAGCGGGTTTGTGTGCCTGTGAGAATCTGATGCTGCTGCTGATCTGACAGGATGGGGAGCTCAGGCAGTAATGCTCCTGACGCTCACCTCCTGCTGTGCGGCTCAGTCCTAACAGGCCACGGACTGGTACCAGTCCATGGCCTGGGGGTTGGGGACCCCTGTTGTAGAGTATCAGTTGTTTACCCTCATGATCATGTGACTGACTGGAAGCTGTGGCTTACTGCCACTGCCCAGCATCACAACAAGAGCATCATACCACATATTGCTGGCCTGGGAAAAGATCAAAATTCAAAATTTGAAGTGTGATTTCTACTGAATGCATATCACTTTCACACCATTGTAGTCAAAATTGTAAGTTGAACCACTGTAAGTCTGGGCCATCTATATACTTACGTACCATATATACCTCATGACCTCTCATATTTCATTTCTGGGTATGTAACAAAGAGAAATGATTGCTATAACCCACAGAAGACATAAAAATGAATGTTCACAGTAGTTTTATTCATTTTAACCCAAAACTAGAGACATATCAAATGTCCAACAATAATATAAATTGTCATATATTCTATTATATGATGGAATGGTAGATAGCAGTGAAAAAGAACTAACTGCTGCTATCTACAACTACATACATGAATCTTAGAGATTTATCACAGATGCATGTTGAGCAAAAGAAGCCAAGCACAAGAGAGTACAATACATATGTAAAAATTCATGGAGCTGTACACTTAAGATCTGTCCACCTTAGTGAAAAAATGTATATATGTATATTATTACAGTTCAAATACAGAAAATAGGTTTTATAACAGGATCTCACACTTCTTATTTGAATTCATAAAATTTTTAGTCAAGAGAAGATTATTTGGCAAAATTAATGTTGTCTTTAAGATTCTACAGTTTGAATAGCATCTATTTTCTGATCTAACCTAATATGATCAGGAGACCAGATTGAACTGCCTTCCGATAAAGGACCAAGAATTTTTTTCTCCGGTGGCTCAAGCCTGTAATCCCAGCGCTTTGGGAGGCCGAGACTGGTGGATCACGAAGTCAGGAGATCGAGACCATCCTGGCTAACACGGTAGAAACCCCGTCTCTACTAAAAACTACAAAAAACTAGCCGGGCGAGGTGGCGGGTGCCTGTAGTCCCAGCTACTCGGGAGGCTGAGGCAGGAGAATGGCGTGAACCCGGGAGGTGGAGCTTGCAGTGAGCTGAGATCCGGTCACTGCACTCCAGCCTGGGTGACAGAGCGAGACTCCGTCTCAAAAAAAAAAAAAAAAAAAGAAAAAAAAAAAGAATTTTTTCTCTACTTTCCATTTGGTGCAGCATACCAAACTAAAATCTAGAAAACCTATTATATATAATTCTTACATTATTTTATTTTATTTTATATATTTATTTATTGAGACGGAGTCTCTGTCACCCAGGCTAGAGTGCAGTGGTGCAATCTCTGCTCACTGCAGCCTCCACCTCCCCGGTTCAAGCGATTCTCCTGCCTCAGCCTCGAGAGTAGCTGGAATTAACAGGCACCCAATACCACACCCAGCTAAATTTTGTATTTTTAGTAGAGACGAGGTTTTACCATGTTGGCCAGGCTGGCTTCAGAACTCCTTACCTTAAACAATCCACCCTCCTCAGCCTCCCAAAGTGTTGGGATTACAGGTATGAACCACCACGCCTAGCCGAGAATTTTAAACATGGCTTTTTAAATTTAACAATAGCTAATTAGAAAAGGTCATCTACTGTTGAATTTAGGTTGCTCAGTCATAATTTTTTCTTTGAATTTACCTGTAAGATAATATTTTATATGTAATATTTGACGACTTATTTAAAAGTTAAATTTTATGAGTAAAAAATTACTTGGCTTTTATGTTTATATATTGTATAAAGAGGAAACAGTTTGGTATCATTTTTTCATTTAACATAGAAGCTGTATTAGTTATTGATGTCCATAAGAAATTAAGTACTTAGCTTATAAAATATTTACTAATTATAAAAAATTTTTTTAAATGGCTGAGCACCTTGGCTCATGCCTGTAATCTCAGCACTTTGGGAGGCCAAGACAGGAGTATCAGTTGAGGCCAAGAATTCGAGACCAACCTGGCAACATAGACTCTTGTCTCTACATGAAAAAAAATAAATAAATACAGAATTAACCAGGCATGGTGGTGCATACCTGTAGTCTCAGCTATTTGGGAGGCCGAGATGGGAGCATTGCTTGAGCCCAAGAGGTTAAGGCTGCAGTGAGCTGAGATTGTGCCACCACACTCCAGCCTGGGCAACAAAGTGAAATTCCATCTCAAAAAATTTTTTAAACAATTTTTCTAATTTAAAATTGATTGTCTGAGGTTGGTTCACTTGACCTATTTCCTAAATAGTCAATATTTAGCAATTATTTAAAATAATAGAATGAGAAGTAGTGAATTGATACAGAATCCTGAAGAATAATATATAAGAATGATATATTTTCTTATAGGCAGAGCTTCTAGATGCTGCTGCTGGCATTCATGTGCGATTCAGATTAGGTGGAGTAAGTATGGATGAATGCTTATTTGGTAGTTTTAAGGCACATTTTTATGAAATTAAAACAATGTAATTTTTTAAATGTAAAACATTTTTGTAGTTAACATTACAATGGTTCTTTGAACTTTTCCATCTACAGGTTAAATTTCCACCTGATATATACTATAAGATTTTTACTCACAGACCTATTGAAGATCTGTGTGCTAACAGCCCTAGAAATTATGCAAAACTTCCAGCAAAGCATACATCTCATAATAAAAATGATCATCTTCAGGAAGAGGATCATAGTGGCTGGTATCATCGTATAGAAAACAATGGCTGGAGGCCAGTTTCTGATACAGTAAGAAAAATGTTAATTTTTAATCTTATGTATTTAGAAACCCATTTGTATTTTTGTATTTAATTTTAAAATTAATTTTAAAATTATTTTTTAAAATAATAAATCCTAGTAATTTAATTGATACATTTTGCTTAAGTTAGCTACTCGGGGGTTGCTAATAATACTTCAAGGCACGGCAATTTATCTTTTTATTACATTTAATTTTACTTTTAATTATCCACTTTGAATATAGGCCATCTTTAGATACTCTCTGGTACTCAGCAGATTATATACTCAGTACGCGGATTGTAGAATGTGGTTGTTGAATATATTAACACTAAGTATGACCAGGCACTGTGGCTCATGCCTGTAATCCCAGCACTTTGAGCTGAGATGGCACCACTGCACTCCAGCCTGGGCAACAGAGTGAGACTCTGTCTCAAAAAAAAACAAACAACAACAACGAAAACAAACAAAAGAATATACCAAGTATGAAAAGTAAAAATGATCAAGGTATGAATTCATTCATTTGTTTAATAAACTATTGCATATCAACCATATACCAGACATTGTTCTGGATGCAGGGGATAGACTTAAGTAGTTTGCCTTTCAATTAGGGAGACAGTCAAGTAAACAGGATATTTCAGTACAGTGTAGTAAATATGTTAAGTGGTTTAATAAGGGCAAATATATAGTGTTTGGAAGGATTAACAAACTCTCCTTATTATCTAGGGTATGTGTGATAGAGCAGGGGGAATGAGCTGGAGGGTGAATATAGACAACCAGTTAGGAGAAAGTGTCATAACGGGGAAACCACAAAGTCTTAGGACATGGTACAGGGACTTCTGCATTCCTGAAGGGTGGCTGTACTCCTTGAGAATTAGAGTCATCAAAAGCCATCAGCACTAAGAGTAGGTCAGGTCTATTCATAAGAGAAGATGAGACACTCTTAGAATATATCTGTTTATCCATTCAACAAATACTTATTAAGTACCTCAGTACACTAGTACTTTGTTGGTCTATCTGTAGCATGTGCTTCTGAAGGCTGAGTGTACTCCTCACCCGTCACTTAATTAGAAATACCTTGAAAGTATCTATCCTTTCCTCTGTTTCTATCTTGGCATATTCCTACTGAACACACAGAAGTTCTTTTCTATTGCCAGATAACCTCACAATCAATATTTCAACAGTTTGTATATTCATTTTTGTTTCTCAATAGTTTTGGCTATCTACTGACAGTATAGTGGTAGAAGACAAAAAGGAAAGTGAATTCCATTTCTCTAAACTGAAGAGAAGGCAAGACTTGGAAAAGAAAAGAAAACTTAGAAAAATAGAGTGGATGAGGCAAATGTAAGTTGATGAAACACTTACTAAGGAAATATGTAGTATTTGGGGAAAAAAACAAATTTGAAATGAGGTATTGCTCCTCACAAGAGGGCATTAGCTGCAGGGGGTCTGCCCGCAGACCCTGACCCAAACGACGAATGAATAAAATGCACACTGACACACAGATGCTCTGTTTTGCCCATCCTGCTGAGTGTCCGACCACCTACACACCAAGAGAGGCTTGTCACTGCGGCTGGCCCCTGTCAGCTAGGGAGACTCATATTTATTCATTAAGATTAGTTAACAAAAGCTTGAGTCAACGCCATTAGAGGGTAACTGACATTGTGGACTTCCCCAGTAAAAAGCACACATCAAAGGCTTGTCTTAAGACCACATGAGTAAACAAGCTAACTAGATAAAACTTCCCCACATCCCGTTGTTTACTACTTTAAACTTTTTAACTAAAGGTAATGGGACCAGGCCGCCTTCGGCCCGGTCTATTACCGAAGTCATGTGAAAACCCTTAGGCCTTCCAAAAAGGTTTTGTGGCCATCATAACTAATATTTTTCCCAGCAGCCTGATTGAATCCCAACATTGGAGAACTATACCGCCTGATTTCAAGACTTAGAAAGCTACTGTAATCATGATATTGTAGTATTGGCATATAGACAGACATATAGGTCAATGGAGCAGAATATGGAATTGTGAAATAAACCCCCATGTGGCTGGGCATGGTGGCTCACGTCTGTAACCCCAGCACTTTAGGAGGCCGAGGTGGGCGGATCGCGAGGTCGGGAGATCGAGACCATCCTGGCTAACACGGTGAAACCCCGTCTCTAGTTAAAAGGAAAAAAAAAAAAAATTAGCCGGGAGTAGTGGCGGGCGCCTGTAGTCCCAGCTACTCGGGAGGCTGAGGCAGGAGAATGGCGTGAACCTGGGAGGCGGAGCTTTCAGTGAGCCGAGATCACGCCACTGCACTCCAGCCTGGGCGACAGAGCGAGACTCCCTCTCAGAACAAACAAACAAAAGTATCAAAGACAGAAAGTGGAAGTTACAAGGCTTTTTAAGGCCTTATCTTGGAAGTCACAGCAACATTTATTCTGCATTCCGTTGGTCAAACTCAAGTCCTAACAGTCCTAAGGGGGTCAAGTAAAAGGTGGGACTCACAGGAAGTTCCATATACATTACAGCTTCACTTGCAGTACAGAGGGGAAGGGAAGTCCTTCCGCCGGGATAGAACCTCAAGTAGCATACCTGGTTGTATATTGTGCCTGGAAGAAAAGATGGCCAGAAGTACAGATCTATAGATGGATGGTGACTGATGGTTTGCCTGGATGGTCAGGGATTTGGAAAGAACATGGGTTAGAAAATTGGTGACAAGTGGTCTGGGGAAGAGGTATGTGCAGACTTCTCCAAATGGGCACCAAGTGAGAAGATGCTTGTGTCCTATGTGAATGCTCACCAAAGAACAATCTCAGCAGAGGAGAATCTTAATAGTCAGGTGAGCAAGATGACTCATTCCTTGGAATCAGTCTTTCCCCGCAGCCACTGCTATCCTTTCACTATCCAGCCTGGATGACAGAGTGAGACTCTGTCTCAAAATAAATAAATAAATAAACCCCATGTATAGTGTTAATTAATTTTCAACAGAGGTGCCAAGGGAACTTAATTGGGAAAAAATGGTCTTTTCAACAAATTGAATATTCAAATGCAGAAAAATGAAACTTGAGTGTTATCTTACAGTACGTGTAAAATTAACTGAAAGGAGATCATAGATCTAAATATAAGAACAAAAACCATAAAGCATCTAAAAGTAATTGATGGAGAAAATCTTAGTGTCTTTTGTTCTGGCCAAGATTTTTTAAAGAGGAAACAGAAGCTAGGAACTATAAAAGAAACAATTTTAAATTTTACTTCATCAAAATTAAAAGCTTTTGTTCTTTGACGTGTTACAAAAATAAAAATACAAGCCATAGACAGGGATAAAACATTTGCAAAATATATATCTGACAAAGGTCTTGAATCAAGAATATGTTAAAAAAAAAAAAAAAAACACCTCTCAGTCACATTTTAAAGTGGGCAAAAAATTTGAATAAACACTCCATCAGTGAAGATATATACATAGCAAATTAGCATAACTCAACCAGTGACTGTCATTAATCATTAGAGAAGTGCTAACTAAAACGATAATGAGATACCACTACACACCCACTAGAATGACTGAAATAGTCTGTCATGCCAATTGTTGGCAAGGATATGGAGCAAATGCCAATTAGTGTGTGTACTTCAGAAAACAGTTTTGCAGGTTTTTTTTAAACAAGTAAACACACCAACTATTCTACCTAGTCATTCCACCCCTACATATTTACCCAATTGAAATAAAAACATGTCCACAGAAAGATTGTATGTGAATATTCATAGCTGGTTTATTTGTCATTGTAATAGCGAAAAACCAGAAACAGCACAAATGTGCATCAGCAGGTGAATGGATAAATAAGTGGTAGGATATCTGCACAAAGGAATACTACTCAGCAGTGCAACAGAATGAACTACTGATACACAGAATGACATGGGCAAACCTCAAAATAATGCTGAATGAAACAAATCTGTCAAAAAAGAGTACATACTCTATGATTTCATATACATACAGTTCTAGAAGACATAAATCTGAAGTGACATAAAGCAGATCAGTAGTTGTCTGGAGATAGAAAAGAGGAAAGAGAGAGGGATTCCAAAGGAGTACGAGGAAACTTTGGAGGGTGATGGATAGATTCATTTTTTATGGTAGTGATGGATTTACAGGTATAATGGACATATCAAAACTGTACATTGTACAATTTAAATATGTGTAGTTTATTGTACATCAACCATACCTCAATAAAATAGTAAAAAAATTTAAAAATCTGTGCAGAAAATCAGAAGACTTCCCTGGCAGCTCTGGAGTGGTCCTTTATCTCATAGCCGCAGCATGGGTTGAGGGCAACCCTGGGTTCCATTGCAAGGGTCACAGGATTACAATGCCTACAGTACTACCAAATGCTTAACCCTGCCAGGTCTTTTGCACTAAGATAAGGGGAGAAGAAGTAGAACCCTGAGCCCTGGGATTAGGACATTTGGGCAAACATACACAAGGCTAAGAATCTTGAACTTCCAAAGTGCCTTGTTGGTGTAGGGAACCCTTGCTCTCCCTTTTGAGGGAAGCAGCGCAGCCCTTTTCTGCATAAAAGCCTTTCAGTGACTGCAGTGGCACAGTTGCCACACACACGTATGCTGATTCTCCTCAGGATTCCTCCTCCACTATTTCTCATTGCCTTTAGCTCACAAGGAGATTTGTATTTTAGGACAGCCCAGACAAAGGTACAGGGTCCACTCCAAGAGGAGATCGTTTATAAACCAGAAGAGTTACAAGAAATTACTAATCTATATTGCCAGGAGTCTCAGAAGCATTGTGTGAGGGTGGATTCTAAGGCTGTTAGATCAAGAGTTGGCTGAGCCAAATTTACTGATATGGCCATACTCACCTGGGATTGTGGATTTAATATTTTGGCCAGAAATTATGTTAATGGTCTGTTAAGTTAGCTAATCAAAGCCTGATTTAGGTAGAGCCAACCAAAGCTCAACCTTTGCAAAATGCTGGAACTTCTCTGGTATACTATAGTGTAGCAGGATTGATAAGGAATCAGAGAGACCGATGGGATTGAGGAGGATATTTATTATTTTAGGTGTACCAGCCCAGTCAGATTAACATCCAAAGGACTGAGCCCTGAACAGGGTTAAGTTACTTTTTAAGCACTTCATGGAGTTGGGGGAGATCTGTGCAGGGGGAAGCATGTTACAGAAGCGAGAAACCATAGTTAATTCAATTAATTGAGACATGCATTACATCATTTCTTACTTTTAAAGGAAAACATGTTTTATGACTTGAGTTTATTTGTCTAGTGACCTTGCAGCTGCACAGCTAGAGAAACAGGGTCTTTACAATGCCTAGGAAAGGAGGAGAGATAAGGCTCACTAGCCACAGAAAAACAGGCAGTTAATTTTTAAAGCACTTCAGCTCTTACTCCTTCTCAGAGGGAATTGGGTTTTCTTATGTACAGCTGAGTTTCTGTTTACACATTCTTTAATTTTTTTAAATTCTTGTTCCATTAGAAAAAAGATTTCTAAAAGTTCAGGGAATTGTGTGTTTGTTTCTGTTATGTGCAATCTACTAACCCACCATCTAGCCATCACCTCAGGAAGTCCCAGGAGATACCTTTTTCATCAAGCTATGAAGTAATAGCTTGGTGAAGGGAGCAGCATATTTCTTTCTCTCTCTCTCTTTTTTTTTCTTTGAGACGGAGTCTAACTGTCACCCAGACTGGAGTGCAGTGGCGCAATCTCGGCTCACTGCAACCTCTGCCTCCTGGATTCAAGCAATTCTCCTGCCTCAGCCTCCCGAGAAGCTGGGATAACAGGCATGCACCACCATGCCTGGCTAATTTTTTTGTATTTTTAGTAGAGACAGGGTTTCACCATATTGGCCAGGCTGGTCTCGAACTCCTGACCTTGTGATCTGCCTGCCTGGGCCTCCCAAAGTGCTGGGATTACAGGCGTGAGCCACCATGTCTGGCCCAGGAGCAGCATATTTCTTGATGAACTCTGTGGTGGCTGTCCTTTACAAGGCTGGAGATGACAGTGGGGAAAGCTATGATGGAACTGGTCCCTTTAGTTCACTGGGACTAATGGAACTTTGAAGTGGTAGAGGTCAGGTGATGACACAATTGCAGTGAGGCTTCCAGATATGGCTTCTTCAACAGAGCAAATCAACACAGCGCCAGGTACCTGGTATGCTGCAGCTGACCTGGCAAATGTGTTCTTTCCCATCCTGATCACTAAGCAATAGGAGATGCAGTCTGCATTTTCACGGAAAGAACAGAGTGTTTTTACATCTTGCTCCCGAAAATATATCAGCTTTCCTGCTCTTGTCCCCAGGGGCTTGTACATCTGTTTCCATAGAACATTATGGCTGTCCATTACATTGATG